ATAATAATAATAATAACAAAGCATTTGTAAGGCGCACAGTATCTGACAAAAATAGTCATTCAAAGGCGCCGGTCAGTGAAAAGTCAGTGTGTGTGAAGGAATGGACATTTAAAGCCAGAGTCCATTCCTATAATACACGCTCTAATGCCAACAATAACACTGTCTTCAACTCTGTCAACTCCAACTTTGGCAAACGTAGGTTTACATTTTCTGGTGGTCAAATCTGGAATAACCTTCCTTTAAGCTTAAGAGAGTCTACGTCAGCCTCAGTTTTTAAACTTAACCTCAAACAACATATTTTATGTTAATCCGGTTTTTATTCAGTTCTGAGGGGACGGTATGTGATATGGTAGCAGTTTATACATGTAGCTACATTTTTAGTAATCATCATTTGTAACTGTTTTGTTTACATGTGGTTTTTGGTTAGGTTTACATGCACTTGGTGGGACTTTATGCAAATTTTGGAGGAATGACATGGCATTTATTTTACAGCCTCAATTTTTGACATGTGTAAATTGGGTTTACTGTGATGTTTTGCTTTTTACTCTCACTGTTTTTTTAGGCTTACTGGGGGACTCCATGTAATTCCATGTAATAATTTTGTTTTATTTTTATTTTTTTTTTACTCTGCAGATTTTTGGGGATGAATGTGCAATAAGTGTTTTTATGCTCTCTGTTAGGTTTTTACTCATACTGTATGTTTTATGTAAAGTTTAATTTGGAAAGTCTTGTCTATTTTTGTAATTTTATTTTCTTTGTTTCATTCTGTTTTCATGTAATTTTAGTGTGAGGCAGTGGCGTAGCCAACGGGGGGGGGGGGGGGGGGGGGGGGGGCATGGGGGCGACAGCCCCCCCATGAAACCTTGTCGCCCCCCCAGTCCGCCCCCCCCCCCCCACTGAGATTTTGAGTTTCTAAAAAATTATCATCATTGATCTACATGACGCCCCCCATGAAATGTTCCAGTGCCCCCCCCCCCCCCCCCACTGAAAAATTCCTGGCTACGCCACTGGTGTGAGGGCTCCTTTGGAAAGCAGTTTTTTTAAACTGAAATGGACTACCCTCGTTAAAAATCACAATAAATAAAAATGAAATAAAAATGGTCTGTGTTTGCTATTAAGCATATGTCAAATATGAATGAATGCAGAATAAATGGAAGGTTTCAACTCAAAAGGTTTTCTCACGACTCGCATTACCTATTACAGTAATTCGTCTGCCGCCTTCACCATACCCTTACTGTGCTGTGGTGACATCGATCCCAATCCTGGACCCAACCATCCCGATGATGAACTTGAAACACAGAAAACCCCCACTAACATTTCCTGACCAGCCTAAACGTGCTGTCATCACGCCGATTCTGAAGAAGTCTTCATTGGACAACAATGTATTGAAGAATTATCATCCCATCTCCAACCTAGCATTTCTCACAAAAGTCATTGAAAAAAATAGCAGTGAGGCATATCATCGAACAATTGGATAGTCATAATCTATCAGAGCCATTCCAATCTGCCTACAAATCCGACCGCAGTACTGAGACTGCCTTTCTTAAAGTAAAGGATGGCATCATGAGGTCAATCGAAGAGAAAAAAAGGCGTAATCTTGGTGTTGCTTGACCCAAGCGCAGTCTTTGATACGGTGGACTATCAAATTCTTCTCCAAAGGCTCCGAGACTCTGTCAGGTTGAATGGAGCAGCATTGGACTGGTTCAGCAGCTATTTGAAGGGCCAAACAAGTCGTGTCTGCTTTGATAGGGATCTTTCAGAACCTCAATCTCTGTATTATGGTGTTCCACACGGATCGGTGATTGGTCCCTTGGTCTTCACTATCTACATCATGCCTATTGGTAATATTATTCGCAGACATGACCTTGAATTTCACATCTATGCAGATGATACACAAATTTACTGCAGGTTTGATCCCAAGAACCCAGCATCGATCAACACAGCACAAATGAAATTGACTGAAATTGACAAGAAATTAAATCTTGGATGACCGAAACTTGCTTCAGTTGAATGTTGCTGCTTCCTCCTATTCACTACGCAACATGCCACGGATTGAGCTAAAGATCGGAAATACTTCATTAAAACCATCCCAGAACGTGCGCAATCTTGGAATTTTTTTTGACTCACAAAAGTCCATTACAAAGCATGTAACCAATCTTCATTGCAACATCAACTTCCACTTAAGTAACATCAGCAGAATTAGGAGATTTCTTGATTTTGATTCCTGACATCATGTGGCTCATGCACTTGTGCTATCCGGACTTGATTATGGAAATTGTTTGCTGTTTGGTGCGAATGAGGCCGACTTGAACAAGTTACAACAAGTTCAGGACCAAGCAGCTCGCCTGGTGTTTGAAGCAAAATGCTGCGAATCGGCCACTCCTTCACTTCACAATCTTCACTGGCTTCCAGTCCAACAACGAATACACCTTAAA